CAGCTAATGAATCATAATCATTGGCCTCAGGAGCTAAGTAAAGGAAGATTCCATGAGCAGTTTTTTTCCAGTGGAAAAACTTTTCACAATTGAGAACCACTAAAGCAAATTTATTATTGATGATCAGGTGCCTTCCTGGTCTACTACCTTGAAAACTTGTTTAGGAGCAATGTTTTATAAAGGGTTTAATTAGGAATTGGTGGTTTTGGACAGCTGTCAGTTTTGAAGAAACCTAGAGAAACCTATATCGGCTAATGAATCATAATCATTGGCCTCAGAAGGAATTCAATCCCTCATTAATTAGGTTTCCAATATAAAAAATTAGGGTCCCCCAAAAAATTTAGCATTATTCAAGACAACTTTTTCAAACATGGGGTCTGGAATAATTTCGGAAAAAATAGCATTTTTGCGGACCGGTTTACTAATCGTCATCCAACATTAACTAGTAGCTTCTTGTAACTAGCAGTGATGCCCTTGTTACGTTAGTGATGCACATGTTCCCTGAAGTGATGTTCTTTGTGCCGAGGGCAGCTGTCCTGCGGCGTTTTTTCGTTGACGACGGTGCGGCGGCCATCTGGCTGGCCACGGCGGTACTGGCCGCATCACATCACTCCCTTCCACTCTTGCGCACTCTGGGGGTGCTAAGTTTGGCGGGTACCTGCAATAATAACACATATATCCTGGGATACCTTGGGTTTGTCCGAACTTACCTGTGACAAGGCAGCAATAATGACAACTATATTTTTGAACAAGGCCATACTATCCCCGTTGGGGGCACTCTTCTGCATAATAGCCGTACAGGATGAGGAAAGTTTTGCATCATGACTTTGGAAGCTGCCCTGGGCCTTGACGTCTTTTTTCTTTCCGAAGGGTCAGCCTCGAAAAGCCCTCAAGCACAGAGCACGCCATATCACGTGTTCTACGCCAGAGTCTCGAGTTGATATCATTGTATATAGGAGTTCATTGAATATTATTCAACACATTTGTGTCGAAATGTGTTGAACACATGTTTCCGTCGGGGTGCCGGTCACGAACGGAGGAAGGAAAGGGGTTCCCCCTGCCACATCCACGACCGAAGGATGGGACGAAGCAAACCATTCGAACTGCGTGACCGGTGGAGGTTCGAACTGCGTGACCGGTGGATGTGCATTGAATAGGGAGTTCTTGTGGCTTCTTGTGGCTTCTTGTTTCAAGTGCTGTGAGTCTTGGTGGGTTAGAGTGCCAGTTCGAGTGGGTGATCCAATCGAACCGAGGAGAACGGCCCTTGGTGTTCTACACGGTGAAGATCACCGACTTCGGGCTGAGCAAGGCACGATTTCGTGCTGCGAATGCGCGCGCTCCAGCGCTGCGGGCCACGCTTTTTCTTTAAAGTTTTGAGGTCGGAGATGGTACTCTGATGTACTTCCTACCCAGGTTTCGGGTTGCTTTCTTCACCTGCAGGTCACCTTGGATTGGGGGATTGGAGGCACCCCACGAACACATGGCAAGTTCGGCGTGGGAGTGTCACCAGGAGCCTCTATATGGTATAGTGCTTGTTGACTGAGACTAAAGAGGTCTCAATGGGTGTGACACCTTCAAGGCTTGACATGGATGTCGCATGATGCAATGGTTGATGGTCAATACCCGAACGCGAACCATGGGACTGCCATAGGACTGCCGATCAGTTGGGGTGGTGCCAGGGGGTCAATGTAGGCATACATGGAGCGTATGGGATAACTACGAGGAACCCCTCCCCTCGCCTTTTGTTGGGGTGTAGAGTTCGGTAGTGTCCTGAAGACTCGTTTTCTGGCTTTCATGTTGCTTTCGCATTTATGTCTGAAGCTTGCCAGGTGAGAGGTGCCTCCCTAGGGCTCCAAGTATATACCTCTTCAGAAGGTCCTTGGACCCTGATAACCCACCCCAAACCACCTTCTCAGAAGGTACTTGGAGCCCTAGGGCCTAATTGAACACAGTGATTAAGAGTATACCCTCAAAAAAAGGTATGACGTGTTGGGTCAACGCCAGGACGCCCTGCAGTTCACCCAAATGTCCCAAGATTCGACTTTCCGGGATTGGTTGAGCATGAAGCAGAGGGACCGGACTTCCACTAGGTGGAATTCAGCGTGCGAGGCGCTGAGTCTTCGGACACGTTGCGCACTCAGAAAGAACAAGTTGTCTGAGAAAGAGTACCCAGACGCGAACCATGGGACTGCCATATATCCTGATCAGTTGGGGTGGTGGTTTGGGGGGTGAATGTGTGTCCCACGGAGTGCATGGGGTATAGTTGGAAGCTTTGTAGATCCCTGTGTGGCCCTTGTGGTTCCACCGATGCACCGACAACGCCTTCGCTGCAGTACCGAGTTACGGCTCAGTCCGGAGACCATTTCCAACTTGGGAACTCAAACCGGCAGATTCTCAGCATGCTGCCAGGCTACCAGTTTTCCATGATGTTCTCAAATGGTCCCCTTAACAGGTCTAAACCACACCAATTGCCCTTGTCGACCAGCGTCGAGGCCATTGGCGCAGGCTTCAGCGAAGCGCGCTCTACGGTGGGTACAAGGCCTTATACGGCGCCCGAGGTGCTGCGAGAAGATTCGCATGACTTCAGCTCGGACTTGTGGTGTGCCTTGGCCAAGCCACTCCAAATGAGATAATTTTATATCATATGTCCTGTATAATACATACATCACACACAAGTATAGACATACCTAGAGGAACCGTTGGCAGAAATTTTTGCCGAGGCACCATTGTGCCCTGATTTCAGCCAAATTCATCGAAAAGCGCCGAATCCAAAAAATAACGCCGAGGAATATGAAAACTGCCGACTTTAATGGTTTTCATTTGCTAGATTCTCAAACCAGCACTTGCCAGATCTTGCCAGTCTTACCAAGCCCTTCCCCGCCCCTTTCCCAAACCAAACCACAGGGTGACCATCCACAGTTTGGGCTTACATATGAGGACCGAGGGATTGGCATCCACAGTTTGGATACCTTGGAATCCTTGCACCTGGGGACAGAGATAGTTAATCCACAGTTTGGGAGTGCTTACAGAGAACACACTTGAAAGATCTAACAATGTTTGCCTAAGTGCATGCCTTGTCTTCCGGACCTTCTTGATATTTCCCCTAGGGCTTTCTTGAAAGGCCAATCCAGGCAAGCAAAATTCTGTCTTTGCTTCTCCGGATCACTCTCCAAAGAATGCTTTGCCGCTTCGCCCTTTCATGATCCAACCTCCCTTGACAAGGGTGGCTGTAGAACAGCTGCAACTATTGGGCCAACAACAATGTTCTTTCCAGTGCAGCCATCCAAGATGTTGATTCTTATTTAGGAAACCCCGACTAAGCATGGTTACGGACAATTGCGCGAATTGTCGGGCAATTACGCCGAATTATCGGAGATTTACGCCGAATTATCGGGCAATTACGCCGAGATCTAGGGATGACAAAACTTTGGAAAACTGTGAACAACTTGACTGCCACGATTTCACGCAAGGGTGCCCGGTTGGTTCACGGTGAGTTTATGTTGAATTATGCATGGTCCATGCACAGTCCACAACTTTCACCTTGGTGATGGAATCAAATCTTTCCATTCACCGAATATGTTCAACAACAGCTTTGTGCCACTGCAATAATTAATAGGAAATCAGGGAAGAGGGTTGCCTCGGGCCACAGAAACCATTTGGCATTTCTGCCAGGCCTTCTCTATTTCTATAAGTTTAATAAACGGTTTCCTTGATCGGATCCATGGCTGGATTTGAGTGTTTACAATGAATCCCTAAGCCGACAATGCTTGGCAAGAGGTAGGAACTACTGAAGAAAAACACTGGGCGTGAACAGCCAGGGCGCACCTCAAGAATGCCCGGTTCACCAGGTATTTGATCCCTAGAGGATTGTCGAGCCGAGTTATCATGAATCACCACAACCCGGATTGGTTCTGCATCTAATCAACCAATCAATATGTTCAAGAACCTCAAAAACCAAAAACGCTGAGTCTATCTTCGTTTTAGCAAATTACGCCGAATGCCCTTTTTCAGGGCAAATTACGGGTAAAGGCGCTTTTTGCTGAGGTGGCAGAAATTTTGGTGCATTTGGAGTCTCTAGGTATCTACACATCCGTGAATTCGTTTGCACCTGGTCATTCGATTGTCTACAGGGGTTCTTCATGGTTCTTCCTTCTTTTGCCTTGTAGTCGTTGCAGTAGATCCACTCAGTGAACCCTTTTTTTGGTCTTTTGGTCACAAGCAGGGGCAAAAACTGATTCGCTCATGGAGGTGAGTCCGTGCCTCCTGGACCTTCCCCAAGTCTTGGCACGTTTGGAGGTCCAAGACCTGTTTCGAGTTATTATGTAAATTCTGTAAGCTGAGTCAGCCAGAGGTTGTTGCATGCCCATTGAACATCTTTCGGGGAAGGCTTTGTCAGTCCCTTCGTTGTGTTTCGCAAAGCCTTTGGGCGGTTTTAGCTGAGCGGCCGGTAGCGGGGGGAAAGAGTTTTAGTCTTAGTCCAAAACACGTTCAGCTCACTCGGCCGGTTTGAACTATGTGCGATGGCATTCCCCCGAACATCGGCGCTCCCCGAACTCGTGTTTCAGTGAAGACTTGCGTCACAAAGGCCTGGGTGTGCTGCTCTTCGTGCTCCTGGCGGGGCATTTCCCCTTCTCAAAGATTCCCATCAAACAGGATGAGCTTCAGAGCCTTGTAGGGCTGCTTGGCCAAGAGATTGAGATGTTACCTCCGCCTCCCCGGTGAGGGCTTTTCCACTCATGTCAGCGAGTTCCCATGCCAGATAGTATGCTGGAATAACAGCCATATAGATTGCCAAATCATATTGTCAAGAACGGTCAGAAACTATGCCATAACATACCCAGACACTCCATGGGGCTGCCATATATGCCGATCAGTTGGGGTGGTGCCAGGGGGTCAATGGGGCGGCATATACGGCAGTCCCATGGAGTGTTTGGGATATGTCTGAACAAGTGGCAGGTGTGATGGCAGGACCATATGTCACAATACATGCCAGAGCTGCTCTGAACACAGAGCGGATGCCAGTTCGGCGTCTGAACACATGTCAGACTTCACGGCAGGACAAGGAGAGTCTGTCAATGCATGTGCTTTACCTTCTTCCAAATTAGCCTTTCAGGGTGGGCCTCACTCAAAGTGAAGTAACATGTTTTATTTTGTTTTGCGCTGTTCATGTGAAACACCATGTGAAACCTACAGCACCTCAAACATCCTCAAACCATTGTTTTGAAGACCTGGCAATGACCTACCAATCCTTTGGGCCTTTGGGTTTCTTTGATTTGAACTCCCCGTGGCCAGCTCTTCGCGTTGCTGCGAGACTAGGCCCACCTAGCTATCGAGATGCATGGAAAACACCGGGTGCACCTTGCCACCCTCCACCCACGTGGTTGTAAGATGTTGTATACTGTAAGGAAATTGAAGATCAGCGACCTGGCCAAGTCCGTGGTGCTGGGCTTGCTCCAGCTCGAACCCCATCAGCGACTGGCGCCTTGGCCCTCACTGTGGAAACTGCGACTTCAAGTGGTGCGGATTTGCCAGAATGGTTTGATCAGGTCTGATCATCAGGACATGCATTGCACTATAATATATAAGTATAGCGGGGGAAGTAGTTGGAACTTTCACTTGTTTTGGTGGTGGGTATTCACCTCAGGTAGTGAAAGGGGGGCCCATGGGGATGGCTAAGAGCATTTGAGAACCCACGAGGTTCCCCAAAACAGGGCGCCAAGTGCTCCGAGCCTGCTTTATCCTTGCAGGTGGTTGGGTGTCCCAGTAATTGCCGGTTTCCACGATTCTGGGTGACATTGCAATATATTTATACTGTCTTCCTATGTCGTCCTACTTGCCCACCACTTGCGTTGGCTCACTGTCATGAATTCATGAAAGCACTTCCCTGCTCACCACTGTGCGAGCCCAACCGCGGCCAAAGCTACCAGAGTTCACCTCAATGCTGCTTGAGCCAAGGACCTTTCAGGGCTGGCGCGGCACGAGTGGATGGTCGAGGAGGTCTTGGAGGAAGAGGCGTGGACGACCTTGGTCGCAAGAAGGACCTTGCAGAGCATCAACCACATTTTGGACTGGCCTCGCGTCGGACGGACCGGACCGGGCAGGCGGAGAAGCCAAAGCGCACACGTTCCACCTCCAGCTTCCAAGCCTCCGTGCAGGTGCCGCCCCCCAAGGTGCGGACGATCGGACGAAGCACGGGCCTCGCGAACCGAACGGAGCGAGGGGAGGCTACGAACGGGGCACCTGGCCTTACTAGGAGCATCTAGGAGCATGAAGCTACTATTAAGAAAGCTATTGAGTTTGATCGAGCAAACCAGGACGAACTCGCACTGCGCCGTGGACCGGGACGAACTCGGCGGGTCGGCGGGGTGCTTGGTTTCCGACCGGCGCGTGGAGGTCTTCGCTTTCCAGCTCGCGTGGGGGTAGCGCCCCCTGTGGAGGTTTTTGGGTTGGCCATGATTCGGCATAAGTGAAAAGCTGAGTATGTTGAGCCATGGATGTCAACATGCATATTTACATTATGTTGCATCTCTATTGGTACATCATGTGATATAATGTTACATTTACTATTATCAGATTTAATGTTATCTATCTATTTATTTACCTAGCTACATACCTATCTACCTATCCACCTAGCTACCTACCTAACTATTTAGCTATATCTAGCAATCTAGCTATCTATCTGATCGATCGATCGATCTATCTATCTATCTACCTATATCTATAGGGGGTTAACCGTAGGTCGCCGTGGCCAACTGATGGCCCACACAAATGTTGTGGGCTGATTTTGGAATTGTGTTTTACACTTTGTCGTTGGACTGCCCGACTTGAGTCGCAAGCCTGTGATGCCAACTGTAGGCCTAAGGATTGTAGTCGACTGGACCTCGAATTTGCTCCAGTTCCTATTTTTTCCAAACGCTCAAAACCGGCGTCTTCGTCGCTCTGCCCGTTCCTGTTGCATTGAGGCTCTGGAGCAGCGAGTGGAACCACCGGAAGCACCGCCCAGCGTCGGGCCAGTGACCGTGAAGCCACGCAAAGGCGGGGCTTGGGGATCCGAGAGTCCGGAGGAGATTTGGGATTGATACTTGCATGCTGTTGTTGAAGAGGAGAGGCCACCGATCCCACAGGTTCCGAGTCGGCCGCTAAGACACTGAAATACCCAGACGCGAACCAAACGGGACTGCCATAGGACTGCCGATCAGGCCAGGGGTGGTGCCAGGGGGGTCAATGTATAGGCAGCTCCAGTCCCAGACAGGTCGTGTATGGGATATGTATTGGGACCGGGATCTGTCAGAGAATCTACTAGAATCATCCTGTCTGGGTGTCTTGTGTGGTGGTCCAGTCGAGCAGCAGTGTAGGGTAGTCTATTTGACAACCATTGGATGACGCAGGTGTGTGGTGTTTCTTGAGATGTTTTTTTCCTGGGTCCTCAAGCACGAGTATGTTTGCTATGTGTTGACTGTTTTTATCTCAAACACGACTCACGAACGCTTTTTGTCCATCACTTTTTGTTTGGAACACTTAGACCAGTTGAGAAATGGAATCGAGGTGTGGGTCAGGGCTTTGATTCTCACTGAGAGTCCGGTAACAACTCATCCCTATGGATCCACATACCTTCTCAGGTACGGTAATTGGAGACTATTGATCTATAGGCGCCAGGAGGGTCCAATGACCTGAGGTCCGACCTTCTGAGAAGGTGGCAGTGGATCCATAGGGCATAGACTTCTTGAGGCCTCCACATCCGGTCACGAACAGATGGACCTTCTGCACCTGTCGCCGGATCGGCGGGGAATTCGTCCGATGTTGATGTGATCAGCGGCGTATGTGGAGGCCTCTTGTCCGTGCTGCTTGGGGACCACCGAACCCAATGGCCATACTCTTGATGTCAGGCTTAAATCTGACAGAGAAATAATACAGACCCACTATAGTCATAGATAGAAAAGTATAGTCCCCACTAAAACATCTATAAACCGTGGCCACGGTCATCTCTTTGGGCACCGGTTGTTTGGTCGAGCGTTCGGACCATCGCATCACCTCTGCCTCTCGTCGGGCTCGCCGAGCGGCGCGTACGGGCAGGTTCCACAGGGTCCAATGGATCGCAACCGGACCGGGACGGGGAGAGACGTGACGACCGGCTCGTTCCCCGGACGCGGGTGGTACAGGAGGTTGGAGCTGGAGGAGGGAGCTGAGGCTGCCAGTGGCACGAATTGTAGGTCCATCATAGGTTGCCATTTTTGGGTTAGGTTGGTGTTGGTGTTTAAGTGCTCGAAACTGTGAAGATAGACCCACTAGACCAATCCAAGCCATATTGATTGGCATCCGGTGACTGGTTGCATTCAATTTGAATTGTTTGTTCACTGGCAGTTGTTTTCAACCCAAGGTTCAGGATTCTTATGCAAGGCACAAGCACCCAAAACACTCGAATGACACAAAAAAACACCAGAAATCTTCTCTTGTGGAGCACTGATCTCCGAGTTGTAGGGCAATGCTTGAGGATTATCGCTTTCAGGGGTGTTTTCAATGGCAGAAGGGGAAGTGGCTTCCCACCCTGAAGGTTCCAATCTGAACATCAGCGAAGCAATGATGAACCCCTTACTTATGGATTGAAGTTAGATTGGCAATGAGTTCAGCAGTAAACATTTACTTTGGGAGAGGTTCCTGGAATTGAAAAGAAAGGAAATCTATAGTGAGATAAAAGGGAAACTTATATTACACAGAGGTTCCTAGAGAAATTAGTAGTGAGGACAGGTTTCTGGAATTGATAAAAGGAAGGAGCATTAGTATTGTGGTGAATTGTTCTTACGGCAAAACCCTTAGCTTTATTTAGGGTACACTTAATTTAGGGTATGGTACCCTCTCCAGACTGATTTTGATCAATTGTTGGTAGGTTTTGAATAAGGATCTATAAAGGAACGCTGATTAGAAGGTTTTAGGGGTTTGGTGAGTCCAAGTGATAAACTTAAGAGGGAAGGATGCAAGAAGGAATCCCAAGAAGGAACCAGCTAAGATGAGTTAAGAAAGAGTTTAAAGGCACAAACACTAAATACAGCTAAAGGATAGGAGTCTTTTTCAACACATTTGTTCAAGGCTAGATTTGTATTTAGGTTGGGTCCAGGGGGGAAAAGTTTGGCTTTATTCAGGTGGTATGTTTAATCATAGGTTGAGAAAAAAGACCCTGGCTGTCAATGGACCCAGAGTAAAAGCCAGCTCCATTCTGCTCACTCCTTGCCCCCTTTGCCAGGAGCCGCCTCCCCCGCCGCCGCCCCCCGAGCCGCCGGCGCCGCCGCCGAGCCCCAGCGGACCGAGTCCCACGGTCGGTGCACCGCGCGCGAAAAGCGGCGCGATGGAGTCGACGGGACTGGACGAAGGTCCCTTGACTGACCCAGACGCTCCATGTTATGCCGAGAAACGGCCGTCGGGGTGGTTTGAGGGATCAATTGATCGGCAGTCCTATGGCAGCCCCATGGAGCTTCTGGGTTATAGTACACATGAAGTTCACTTATAGTAATAGTCCAGGGTAAGCACACGAAAATGCTGAGTAGAGAGTGGATGTTTAGAGACGTCCGTCCCGGTGAAACCTGGAACTGGTGAGAAACGTCGTCTTGACTGCGGTGATGTTCGTCAGAGAAGAAACTGCGGTACCAGTACAACGATGATCAGAACTGTGCAAGCCACCTCAAACGGATGTTTTGGGAGGTCCCTGCCATGAGCTCCTCGAAGCGCTCAGTCTCTTCCATGCTCTCTCCTGGCCACTTGGTGCGACGACAGGGGCTGCGGAGGTTTGGAAGGTCGATCCTGTGGGGGATGTGTGCTTGCACATTCTTGCGTCCATGTGCAGGCACATTCGAAGACCGTTACGGCCGGGCACAAGCTGCTCATCCCAATCCATCACCCTTTGCGATCTTAAGTTCCATCTTACTATCCGATGCCACAGTCATTTCCGTAGCACTACTACTACTACTATTATTACTACTACTACTACGACGACTACTACTACTACGACGACGACTACTACTACTACTACACCACTGACACTGACGTGCCGTGTGCCCGAGTCCGGGCAGCGTGGTTGTGCTTGAAAACAGCGCGCTCCGGGACGAACGAGGAGCGCTTCGCAATGAATGAACGAACCACAACTTGTTCCTAGTAGCTTCTTGTTACTACTAGTAAGGCACTTGTTACTAGAAGCGATGCACTTGTTCCTAGTAGCTTCTTGTTCCTAGTAGCAAAAAATCAGACTTCTTCCTGAATGACCTGAGGTGAAGTGCTTCCTGCTAGCTTGCAGCCAGAGGTGATGCAAGTTCATATGGTGGTGCCCGACCGATTGGCTGCAACCTGTCGAGCAGATGGATTTGTCTGGCCAACCTCGTATTTTCAGAAGTGATGTTGGAAAGGCATTGGCGCCACTTCAACAGTGTTTCTGGGTGTTTCGCCCTTTGTATATATATAATATGTTTATCTTGTGTTTTTTGTTCAGGTCTTCTCGAATCTTCTTGAACCCATTTGCCAAAATGGGTCCCAGGCTGCCGAGTTCAACTAGTTATCATCCGGACGCGAGTTGGTCGAGTGCGGACTGCGAAAGTCCTGAAAGAAGGGTTTTTCAACTCATTGCAGTGATGAAGAATTTACAACAGCACCCTACAAGTCAGTTTGACCTCATTTTACTGGAGATGTTCACACAAAACCAATACGTAAGGAGATACAAGATCAGGTTGTACTGGTTCTTTAGACTTGTAGGACCTACAACTTGTAGGTGAGAGCTAGCATAGCTGGCGCCTCCCCCACAAACACTGTCATTTACATTGAGTGCACTTATTCGGAACTGGGTTTCACCTGCCACTCCTCCAGCCTCTCAGGCAACCATCATGAACAAAAGCGGTCCCCAGCTGAAGCAGATGCTTGGCAATGTCATGCCTTGTTGACTTGCACACAAAAGAATATGCCATAGACATGTTAAAGTAATTCAAACATATATCAACGTGTCCACCAGATGTAGACGCTCCCATGTGCTGCTCTTGTGATGTAATATGATTGAGAATAAATGGTGGGTGTGTAAAGGTAATGTAGATCGCAATCACCTCGAAATCGGCTGAGAGTGCTTCGGTTGGCGGCGCGCCGGGTGATTTCTGACGAAGGCATGGTCGCGAGAACAGGCGGCACTTGATTCTCCAAGCCGCCCCCAAAAGGGGCAACACATTGCAAATCATAGAAACAACACAGAAAAATAATAGCTTTTATATTATCTAACACAGGGGTTCTCCAACATAAGTAAGTTATTCTAGCCAACATAGAGCTTCTCCAACTTCATCAACATGTGTTCAACATCATCACTTGGCAAACTCCGACTTCTTAGGCAACCGAACACCGCTGATTGTACTCAGCCGAACTTCACCGACCTTCAGGATCTCCTCCACGTTGGGATGCCAAGTGAGATTGATCTCGCGGAAGACAGCGACTCGGTGTGACCAAGAGAGCGCTCACATGTGTCGTCCTGTCGGACGCCGAGATGCCGGCCGACGGGGTGGTGGTGGTGCCAGGGCGGGGTCTTTCTGGGGCGGCAGTCCTATTCCAGTCCCATGGAGTGTAGGGGTGTGGATGAAGATGTCGTGGATGAACTGTGGATATTCTGGGGATGAGAAGTGGGCTGGGCAACTGAAGTCGGGTCCTAGACATGGATGTGTGAACAGGGCGAAGAGGATTGAATCAACCACAATCAAGCTATAGAACATCATAGACATGGAACAAAACTACATTGATGTAGAGGACATGCTGTTGAAAGCGTCAATGTTCATGTTTAGAGTGGAAAACTATCTAGTTGGTATTCGAAGAATAGTCATCCAACAGGCCATGCCATCCCCTTCCATATGAGTCAGTCGGAGGGTACCCCGTACCCCTGGACGCGCTGCTTTTGCTGATCAGGTGGATTCTGTATGATTCCCTATGGTTGAACTTCACCAACCTGGGGAGAGATTCTTCCCCAAACAGTGTGGTCACACTAGCTAGGGTTACTTTTTTTAATGGTAGCTGTTATACCTCCAGACCTCACACACACTGGACTGGGTCAGACTCTTCCGCAGACTCGGCAGCTGCACCGACTCGGAGCGACCGCGGAGCGACGCAGGTGAGGGAGCAGCGCTTGGTGGGCGACCATCGGATCGTCATCATCGGCAACTACAATCAATGCGTCATCGTCCAGGCGACGAGGGAGACCGGTGGTTTCGTTGGGGTTCTTGAGATGGTGTGAAAAGACCCTGTGTTTAGACATGGTCTGAAAGAGTGTTCATGTTGTTTTAGATGTTTTAAGTCTTTCTAAAACAACTATTTGACTCGTCGTTCGTTCCTTTCTAGCCATTCTTCTTCTACAGGGCGGCGAAAATACGGTGCCGTTGGCGCGACTGCGTGACGGGTCTGTCGTCTTCGCAATCGTCATTTGCGCTGTTTGGCCGGAGCCTCCAAGCCACTTGCTCGATGCCGACACTCCCATTCGGCTGGGCTGTAGTTTGCCCCATCATGTCCCGGTTTAACCAGCTTCCCCAAGCAGGCCACTTGGGCAACCTGAAGAAGTCACTAGTGAAGTCACTTTACAGAACCCTGTGTTGGTAATATGATTCGGTTTGATCTATACTTATTGGGCGGTTTCTGCCGTCAAATCGTCTATACAGAGAGACCCTCCTCCTCTCAGGTGCAGGTAGATGCCAAGACTCCGTGCAACGGCGCTTCCCGACCGATCCGATCGCCAGCCGACCTGGGCGCTCACGCTCACCGCGCTGCGCGCTCCGAGGAGTTGGTGCACGGCCGCATGATGCAAGCCATGCGCCAAGAGGGTGAGGAGCCCACCGGCGAGACCTCAGCGACTTGGTAAGGCGACGGTGACGGTGAGGCGCCCCGAGAAGGTCCGGCGAGGCAGAGAGATAGCGCTGCGGTTGGGGCGGAGAGATTGCACAGCGGTTGGGTGCATGGAATTGGAGGTGCGGGATGTTTTTGTAGTGACCCTGAACTTCTCAAAACACTGAAGGGAGCGAGGGGTAACGCTCCAAGTTGGAAGGGTTGTGATGAACTGTTGGGCTGTTTGAACAAGCTTGAGGCAGTAGTTGTTGTGACTGACCAGTGGCGGGGTGGGCATATTTTGTTTTGTTACTGGCGGTGGGTTGGGTGTTCTACCTTGTGGCTTTCTGGTTTAGGGCGCTCCGTAATATAAGGCATCTGGATCAAAAGAAACAAGAATAGGATCAAAAAGAAAAAATCAAGTCTTCGAGTCCAGTGGTCCCCTAGGCCCTTGGTCTCCTGGCCCACGAATTTCCAGAAGAGCACGTTCCCTTTGAAACGACACAGTATGGTTTAAACTTGTCCCTTTTCGTCCTTGTGGACAGTCACGGCTTTCTGTGGACTGACCTCGTCAGCCGTTTTTGCGACCGCACCAGCGACCTGCAACGAGGTGATGCTGTTTGTGAGGGCCGAGGCAGCCGGAGTGGTCATCGGGAAGCAGGGCTGGGTCCTAGGATGTGTCCGCCACTTGGATGAGCATTGGGTTTGTGCCTGTTTGTCCAAACTTACCCGTAACAGTCAGTAAACAAGCAAATCAGCAAATCACTATTTTGGAACAAGGCCTGCAACTTCCGGCCCCATCTTCCACTGAAACCTGGATGACATGGATAGACCCAAGATGAGCACTTCAAGTACAGGAGGGGTCTCTAGGATTCGCTGGGCATGTTGACGCTGGAGACGCTGCCAGGCGCCATGCTAGCCTACAGAGACAGACAGCTGCATTCGGCCAGGAAGTGTGAGTTGCCAGCTTCCAGATTCTCCAAATACAGGGTTGTAACGTATAGTGTAACGTATATATAATATATGTCCAGCTTGTGGTGCAGGATTCTTCCAACAGTCTTGTACCTTGAGCATGGCATGGTTCACCGGACAATTTCTATACGATTTAAAGGCAATTCTATGGTGCTATGCGTTAATTTTAATATAATATATATATATATATTAATATATATATATATCTATTTTCCTTGAAGCAAGTCCCAAACACCCCACCCAAATGTTGTGTGGCAGACCCCCTGAGACAGCCACCCACGTGAAACGCAAAAACAGAGAAAATCACCACTGACACATCCTGGTTTTGTTCTATAAGGAGTCAACAGTGGAGTCAACATACGTAAGTTAAACATGACACACACTCCCAAAAAACTGACATGGAACCTGATGATCATGATGGCATGGACCTTTGGAAGATTATTTTCCTCTACAACCCAGTGGTTTTCAGGTGAATCTTCCCGAGTGTATAGCTAACCTATATATATATATATAGTGGACGACCGACGCCCACGCCCGACGTGGACGCTCGACTCCGACGTCGCCGGTCGACGCCCACACTCGTCCGCCACGTCTGCCGAGGGAAGCAAAGCAACGCGCGGATCAACCTGCTGCGCGAGGAGATCCGCGGGCAGCGGCCCTGCATCATTGAGGGGCAACTGCCCAACATCCTGAGAGCGGACGCTGAGCGGAGAGCGGACGGAAAAGGACGACCCTCCACCCAAACGAAGGTGAAGGTAGATTGAACAGAACCAGCCCTACAGGAGAGACCTTCGAACCGGGGACGAGTTTTTAGGCCCCGAGCTGTATGTGAGGAGGGTAGTGTTTGATCCTGATTAGTAAAAGGGATTCCCCCCCTCCCCTCTAACAAATGGGAGGTCCTCCAAATAAATTACCACCAAAACAAATCTGGGTTGTTGGGAGGATTCCTTTTGTAATTGATTGTAGTATTTATTTTCCTTTCTCAGGTTCTTTGTAATTAGATATTCTCAGCAATCCTTTCGTACTACTAAGAAGTGGACAAAGAAGGTTCTCAGGTTCTTTATGGCGATGAAGAAGAACTAGAGAAACCTATACTTATCAATATTCTCAGCAAGCCAGCCATTGGCTCAGTCGTCTTAAGAATTAATCTCTATTTGTTTTATTCAGGAAAAACCTTTGCACAATTGAGGACCCTAAAGCAAATTTATTATAGATCATCAGGGGCCTTCCTGGTCTACTACCTTGAAGATTGGTTAGGAACAATCTTTACATATATCTTTACATCAATGATTGATTAAGGATTTGCTGGCGTTGGGAAGCTGTCAATTTTCAAGAAGAGCTAGATAAACCTATACTTATCAATAATTTTCAGCAAGCCAGTTTCTGACGTAGTATTCACAGGTATTTGACCCTAAAAATTTTTCATATTTAAAAAATTAGGAACCCGAAAACACTTGGCATAATAGAGGACCCTTAAAACACACATGGTGTCCAGAACTTTTTTGGAACAATTATCATTTTAGAGGATCCTTTTACTAATTAGGATCCAACATTAGTTTGAACAGAACCAGCCTGGGGTGGATGCATTCCGAAGTGAATTCTAACCCTTGAAGTCAGCCCCTACCAGGCAAGGTCTGCTGACCGTCCGTATCCCGCTAGCGATTGGACATGGAAGTGACCAAACACACAAATATATTAATGTATATATGCCCGGAGATCCCAACGGGTTGTTTGGACCCCAAGGGGTGGTAATATGGACACCCCATACCACCAATTGACACCCATGAGCGGCTCGAACCAAAGGCGTCGCCGGAGCCCGTCGCGACGCGGAGTGACACCGTGCGACCACGAATGTAATAGATCATTCCCTATGGATCCACATACCTTCAAGAGTCTACATTATATACCTTGGAAGTCCAGTCTGATCCAGTAAAACCTGGTGTTTCCACCTCCTTAAGTAGTGTTGTTGCATGACCATTGGGGATATCCTCCCTCAGCCTCTGATGGAAGCGGAACATGGAATCCCCCCAAAAAGGATGTTCCTTGGCGAACTGGGTCGCTTCCACGTGAGTGTGTGTGTGTTGTTAAAGGAGGATGACTATCGTTGATAGCCTGGCAAAAATGCTCAATGGATCTGTCTAGACTGATCAGTATTGATGAATCAACTAGCCATGCATGAAGTGTAACATGTTTCATTGAAAGACACCTGTATTTTGTCATTGGTGTCTCATTGTATTGTGGTGATGCTTAGTGGAAGTTCATTGGTCGAATCCTTTTTCAAGCAGCCATTAAGTATCGCCCCTGCAAACTGCATCCCTTATGGAGACCGCACGCCATACTAATCTAACATTGAGAACACTCAGCATTTATTATATGTTCTCATTTTGGTTTGGTTTGGTTCATCCCCTTTACGAGGGGACCCTGTTCCATCAATCATTGCTTTTTCTAGACATTCAGTTTAGGGCGTGGTTCCAGAGACAAACATCTACAGGCGATGAGACTCTCCGGGGCGCTGACTCCTGAAGATCGTGCCATCTCCTGAGAACATAACCACAAAAAGATCCTTACAGCCTTTCGAAAGAGAGTCTCCCTGAGATGTGCCGTGTGGTACCTTCAAGCTTTTTGCCTCATCGGTCCAATCAAAGCATCATGACATCATGGCCCCATTCTGACACCTAATGATAAAGCTTGATTGAAATCCTGCTACTGTACACTTGTGGTGAGGAACCTGAACGAGTGAACTAAGAAACCCTTAAAAATAGGTACACCCACTCCTGTCCAAGTCACCACTTTCAGAAGTCGTTTGTCGCCTGTGGGGTTTGAATCTGCTCAGGAAAAGCATGTCTTCGACCTCGTTGCTGCCGTGCCTGTGGCCACCAACCCGCCTCCCAGTGCCAAGCGGCCCCCACTTTGCTCGCCCAGCACGCCCCGGGCTCCGTTGCCCGGCCCGTGGAGAGAATGGTTTTGGGCGTTCCCGGTACAGTGGAGTACAGAAGACCTATGAGGGGTTCCTATCAGGGGCACCAGGACGTTCCTACGAGTTCCTATGAGGGTTTGGGGCGTAGAAAGATGAGTGTTTTGTTTTCCAGACCAGACGTTACCTGCTCGAGCTTCGACGTCCGTCTTGAGAGCCGAGATGTCGGTGAAACGCTTCCATTTTGGGTAGTGAAGGACCAGACTGGTCGTTTTCTTCTTGACACATGAGATGTCGGCTGAAGACGAAAAGGGAATTGGTGGTTTCTTTTCGCCGAATCCGCTGAAATCAATGGTGAGATAATAACATATAATAACTATTTGGCTCATCATGTTAGTGGTGACCCCCTGAATCGCATTGACATGTTCCAGACCGAGCAACAGGAACAAATCATCCGCCAAGTCCCCAACTATTGCAGGGGGGCCATGGATGAGGTCTTGACCAAAGTAGGATATTGTCACTGGACTTCCAGGGTGCACCAGCTTTGCAGTCCCGAAGCCTCCGGGGTGGGTGAGGATGACTGAAGCCTGCGGGCAGCATCGACTGTTGACCATGTTGACCATGTTGACCGCTGAGGAATTTGCCACGTACGCGTTTGAGTGTGGAGCCGCTCCAGGGTGTGGTCATGAGCCTTCGTTAGCAGAGCGAGCTGGGAAGTGATAGAAGTGACTGGGTGTGTAGCTGATGCACACTCCCCCACAAGCATGGTGTGTTTTCCAGGCTTTCCTATGTAATTAGCTGATGTCCACGTCCACGATGGCGAGCGAGCAAGCTGACACGACCTGACTGGAGTCGCGAAAGGGGCTGCCCATCTTGGCTCAACCAAAACGATCTTAAAGAGACATTTTATTTAATAGATGTTTATTAATTACTTACTAATAGCTTTTTGTTACTACTAGTAAGGCACTTGTTACTACTAGCGTGGCACTTGTTACTACTAGCGTAAGACACATCGCTCCGATGGATGCCGACGACAACGAAGCGATGCTGCGCTTCGCACCGGTGCCCCCCAAGGAGTTGGAAGGGTCTCATCGGGTGGATCCAGCCAGAGCGCCTCGGCGCGGAGAGAAGCGAGTCCGCGGGTCGTCCAGCGGGTCGTCCAGAAGGTACTCAAGCAGTCGTAAGCAGCAGCAGAAACCAGACCCTAGGCCCTAGGGATCCAAATATACCTTCTCAGAAGGTGGGACTGGGGTGGGTATACTTGGATCCCTTTCAGGAGAAAAAGTGCGGGAGTCAGTGCTCAGGTTCAAAGACTGCTTGGTGAGGGCGCTTTTGGGCTTGGAGGGCCTTTTTGTGTGTGTGTGTGTGTTGTTTTTATTGTGTTGTTTTGATGTGAATGTGTGACAGACCTCAGTTCATTCTGCCTCTCCTGAAGCAGAATCACGCTTGTGGGCCACTTGTCTGGATTGGCACTGGCCATCATTTGCAAAGAAAGTGGTCTCATGCCTCCGTTTTTGTTTTTATTGTGTTGTTGTTGTGCATTGCTGCCGCGTTGCTTTTAGGCTTACATCAGAAAACATGTTAAACTGCATTGCTCGCCTCGACGGCGTGATGGGGATCGAACTCAGGAACCACACGTCAAGCGAGGAGGGAGGGCTACCCCATCGGTTTCGAGGTTCTTAACGGATAGAACATGATTACATGTTTATATACCTGGATCTTCAAACGGCACAAATTTTTGCCGGAGGCATTTTTTGGTGAAAAGACGCCGTAATCAAAAAAAAATGCCGTTTTTTGGGTTGTACAAAATCCATGGACGGGGAAAGACGCCGTTTGGACGCCCAAAGACGCCGTTTGGACGCTTAAAGACGCCGTTTCTTTTTGCTTTCTGCCGGCGTGCGCCTCGTCACAACAAAAAAAGCCGTCTTTGGAAAAAGACGCCGTAACGGCATTTTTTCCTGAAAAGGCAATTATTTGTGCCGTTTCGAAGATCCAGGTATTTACAGCCTTCGGCATGCCGCCGGCCACCAGCTCGAGCCCGCATTGGCAGGCAGCTTAATGATACAATACCCTGCTCAATCATACTTGTTGGTGCATTGGAGGTGCACATTTGGCTGGGTGAGTTTGTTGATGTTTATTTCAAGGTTGTTTGACCATGAAATGGAACGAATCCGAATCAGAGGTTGTCTATTCTGATCCAGCGATCGACATGTCTCAGTCC